ATATATATATATATATATATATATATATATATATATATATGTATATATATATATATTGTTAAGCTTGCACGAAGTTGCTGAATATATTTATTTCGCTAGCGTTTCGACGTCTTCGTCTTCATCAAAGCCGATGATCTGAGTCGATGGTCCGCACTTCTTCGTCTTCTCGATGGAGCGTAGTCGTAGTCGTACTGTGACGGATCTTCTTTAATGAAACACCACGTCAATAAGGGTTGCTCACACGGCAGTGCTCTTTTACATAGTGCGGTTTTTCACATGACTACCAGTTGATAATAACTTGCTTTTCAGCGGATAATCCACCACACATCCTACATATAGGTACATATATATTTGTATATATAAATCTTAATTGTTCGGAGTCGAACAATCTCTAACGGATGCGACATGCATTCGACTTCATTAAACATCGTTAAAGGTGATTGAATTCACATATGTCCTAGACGGTGACTTGCTGTGGCCTACAGATGTAAAAAATTAGTGCTGTTGTCATAACAGACAAGTGTGTTATCAATATTTCGACACTAGTGATGGAAGACTGAGTCTAGGGCTCTGGATCGAATCAATGGCCGCTTGTGTATCGCAAGGCACTTCTGGACACTGCACTACAAGCACATATATATATATATATGTATATATATATAGGTGCTTTCGAATCTATCTAACAGCGTTGGTATATGGTTGATGCCTGGTCCACACTCGGATTACCTGGTGATAATGAGCGAATGTAGAGGTGACATGTTACGAAGAAGGTCATACATGGATCTGGTTGCTAAATTTCTGCTATTGGTTAGACAACTTCATTTTCAAATGGTTTTCTTGGAAGTAATGTTCATCAGTGGTAAAATATGGCATGAAGCTAATATTCATTCTTCTGAATACTACGTTCATACAAGCTGAGAAAGAGTTTGAAATTTTCGCATGAGAGCCCTCTAAACCCCTCACAACTAGATGGATTGCTCGCGTTTCTATGCCAGATAGGCTTGTAACTTTCTTGTATTCAACTTACCTTCAACTTGGACTGATAAAAAACGTGCAACAAATAACGTGAGAAGTGTGCGGGAGATGGATCAAATCGTCTCTAACAAATAGTTAGGTAGCGGATCTCCTTCGAAGAACAACACAGCCAACTTATAAGTCTTTTATTCCTCCAAATTGCGGCTGACGATGGCATGTAAGCCTTAGTTGCTCTATGAAAAGCATTTAGAGGAGGCTATATGAAATATTTGCTGTCTTTCTTTTCTCTCAAAGGAATAGAACATACAGTCTCGACGTACGAAATAGAAGAGTAAATTAGAGGCACTGCTTGTACATCTGAGACCGACTTCGGATCTTTTTTTATGTGCAATTAATGCCCAATATTAAATCCTTCAACAAAAAATTCTTAGCGAGACATCGTAGAGCATATGCTTACAATATTGTGACGGTAGCAGAAAGCAATATAGAGCGAGCTGCATTGTCTATTAGCAAAAACACAACCAGTTTGAATTCGAGTGACTTCGGATGTGTTTTGTACTAGTGATTTCTGCTAAGAGTGCTACTACAGTATGCTAGCGAATTTTGGAAATGGACTTGCTTTGTTTTTATTTTTTTATCTTCCTTTTTTCCTTGGCTCTGTAGTGTTCTTTATGACACTTTTAATGTTTTTGGTCATTTCGTTAACGCTGAAGTTTCTAAAAATTTAGGTTTCGTTCTCAATATTTGAGTATTTTACATTATATTAAAATTTGGGGCGTATTTTCCTTAATTTCCTGATTTTCAACAATTTTTCCCTTTCCCATATAAGGCAGCCGTTAATCAACAGTGTCGATAAAACTCATTGGGCTGGTATGAACAACGGAAGAAGGGAGGCCAAACTATTAGTGTGCCTGCTATTAGTGAAACAGCTATACTACATGAAACCCATAAATAGAATTAACCGATGGATGATTCCTATCGGAAATTTAAGAGCGGCAGTCTTTTCCATACTCACATCTCTCTACTCTCTACAACTTCACCATAACAATAGTTTTCAATTAAAGTTGAATACATGTTCACATTAAAACTTCACTTTCGCTGGTGTAACCACCTATATTTGAAGTACTGTATCTCTACAAAGACTTGCCTCCGTAAAAGCTGAACTTGTCGTGAAGTGTCATATCCTTTTCAGGATCACAAACATTTTGGAAAACCGCTAAGAATAACCCAGTGAAACTTTTTCTGAAAATTTGAGTGATAAGGCCAACTTGGTGAAAAGTAAGCTTCTAAGTATCAACGTACACGATTTGGTCCCACAGATTTGCGTAGAAAGGTATGAAAGTTGATGACTAACAAAGAGTTGGTTTGGTTTTCCAATATTCATGCTTGTTCACAAAAAGTTGACACTAATCGACTTTTGTGTACTGCAAAACGATTACAAAATTCTACATGGTCGCTTACAAAGATGGAAAAATTGAGTCAATCGGCATAAACAGAGAACAGCCTATAGATATTCGAATCTATACAGCCTGCCAGTAGAGCATTCTATTTAGAGGTATGCAGGTGCACTTACCACAAATTATGTTCACGCCATCCTGACTTAAAAGGAATGTTGTTGTTACTTTCTGATTCAATAAAGTGCGTAACCTGTACCAGCTGCATCACCTGTCGTTGACCCTAAACTGAGTGCAGTGGGAGCTAGTAAATCTTCCATTTTTCCCCGTCGAGTGCAACAGTAGCCCAGTGCATTCTGTTTACTATAGGGATTCGTTTAGCATCATACCTCTCTTCTAGGGTTTTCGTGCAGAACTCCGAGTGGTTTCCTTGCAGTACGTTTGACATCGCGAAGAATCCAGTTACTAACGGCTCCTTCCCGTCGGTTGTCGTTCATACGCATTATGTATCCGGTCCATCTTGTCTTCTACAGTCTGACGCATAGCAGGGCATCTTTAATCGTTATTTCGACTGCATGTTCAATAAGCTGAGTGGCACTACATCGTACTTAGCGATAAGCAAGTTGCTGACGCATAAGTTAAGACAGCAAGAATCTTAGAGTCGCAAAGATGAGTAGGAGTCGGGTGTTCTTTGTTCTCTTCGCTACATCCTCGATGCTCTTGAAAGCTTTCCAAGTCGTTTGTTTCTCTCTGCACAGTTTTGGAGCTAAGTCGTTCATTATGCTGATTTCCCAACCTAGATAGACGTAACTGGAGCATTCGGAGATATTCATTCCGTTGAACGTGACCATTCCATTCCTCTTGCGGGTCGTTTTTGTGAGATTTAGCCGAAGGCCAATTCTTCCAAAGACTCTACCAAGGTCAGCAAGTATTCGTTCCGCTTGGCTAATATTTGGTGTTATGAGAGCGATGTCACTAGCAAAGCGAAAATAATGCAATTGGAGACCATCGATTTCTACCTTTATGTTGTCCCATTCCAGCGTTCGCATAACCTTCTCCAAGGTGGCGATAAATAATTTTGGAGAGATGGTATCGCCTTGCCTAACCCATCTTTTGAATTCGACGCTAATTTCGTTGTAGAATGGTGATATATTGGTTGTGAAATTTTTAGACAGCTTATGAAGAATCTTTGTATACTGAGTAGGGACGTCCCGGTCGTCTAGGACTACTTCTATCTAAAGTGAGTGAAAACATTTTGTTAAATCGTTTAAAGTAAAGCACGGCGGTCTTTTCTACTCTCGCGATACCTCGATGATCACTGTTATTGTAAGTATATGGCCCATTGTAGTAAATCACTTTCAAAACCCTTCTTTCTCACGTAAACGTCCTTCGTCCAGTGTTTTCATAATACTGGTTAGAACGACTTTAGTGAGGAGTTTATAAGCGACAGACAGGAGAGAGATTGGCAGACAGTTGCAATATCACGTTGGTCACCATTCTTAAACCATGGCACAGTCTTCATTGTCTTCTGTTGAAAGCAACCTTAATTGTGACATGAAACGTGTGAATAGCCATGCCAGCGTGTTGATGAGGTCCGGCAGCAGGTTCCTCAGGTGTTCATGTCTCATCTTATCAGACCGAGTGTTGTTCTATTCTTCGCCGACGAAATAGCACATCGGATTTCGGAAGGGTGAACCGGTGGTATAACATATCCATCCTCCTTTATTTCATATTACGGAAGGTGGACCTGGCTATCGAAGAGATCTGAGTAGTATTTGTGAATGATTTTCTCCATTGACTTTCTGGACTCTGTAACTGTTCCGTGTAGACGCCGGAGTGCAATCATCTTGGTCTCGTAATTGGGGAAGCTTCGGTGGATCTTGCGAATGCTTGTCCCAGCCTCTGCAGCTTCGACCACTACTGCTGCTCTTCTTTCTTTAAGATCTTTTTTATCGCCTATCTGCATTATTTTGCAAGTTCGGATGATAGTTCGCGCTTCCCTGCAACTCGTGCGACTCCACGTTGTCGTATCAGCTCGAGTGTTTCTGGGGATAGACGTCTTCTGGTGAGTTTCGAACATTGAGCTTTCATAGCGCTAACGTGAAGCTGCTGAATGAGCCTATCGTATTGTTCGCCGATGTTATCGACAACGACACCTTCCTAGCAGCCGACTGGATAAGCCGAATGGATTGAATAAGCCTCAGTTTATGGTTGCTCTGGAAATTCGGTTTTTGAATTTAGCGGCTTTTTCTCCTTTCTGCAAGAAATAGAATGCTACACAAAGGAGACGGTGGTCTGATCCCGTATGGAATTTCGGAACAACAGCCACATCGGTTAAGCAAAATCTTCTATTTAATATGACGTGGTCTATTTCGTTATGGTACTCTCCATTGGGAGTCTCCCACTTTCAGTGCTGAGGGTGGGGCATCTGGAATTGCGTGCTACCATAGATTGTCTTGGTCCCCATGTTAAACTGAGATAACCGCTCGCCCTATTCGTTCCATTCTATTCTATGGGTCTCAATATGACGTTCTTCAGACGTTCTTCTTAGTCCAATCTTGGCGTTGAAATCTCCAATGATGACGTTGAAGAATGTGTGACCTTCCCTGTAGAACTTCTCCAAGTCTATATAGAGCGCTTCGACTTCATCGTCATAGTTTGATGTCGGCGCGTAAACGACGAAGATTATCAAAGCCGAAATTGATCCACATCTTTTAGTCGTAAACGTCCGATTTGTGTTGTAAGCTCTTCGAATGAATCTATGTTGGACGAACTCGTGTTGACATGAACTCCGACGCCGCCGACTCCACTACTGTCGCATGTTCCGAGGAACTGTTCTTCTCCGGTGTCATAGACGGCGCTGAAAGGTTGGCGTCTTCTTGACTCGGCCAGGCCGATGACGTCGTAACTTATCTTCCTGCTTGCAAGAGCAAGCCTTCTATCGAGGACTCGAATGCAAGTGTACGTGCATTTTAGGTACAGATCGTCACCATAGTTCTTTGTAATCCAGGCAGCTTCCACTGGCGCTGAGATTTTAGCAGCCTCTCCGTACTCGTTCTACCCAATGCTGTGAAATTGGGGCTTTTTCGTGTTCGGAGGAATGAGGCCCGTTTTTTTTTTTACTGTGTTTAGCATTTTGATGCCCACGTATAGCTTGCTGGGCTCTGAACGTAGGGCTGGGTATACTCACGGGTAGCTTGCCAGGCTCTCCTAGAGTGGACATGGAGCCTATTTGTTGGAGGCGACTCCTAACCGCCTCCCATGTACCTCCCTGTCAACTGATTGCAGGCTTTTGGGAGACTTGTCGCGTAGAATACAATCCGCATAAACTAGAAGGCACCCACACACGCATGCATGAATACGCCTAGCAAATGCAGAAGGCACCACTTGGGATGCCGCCACGTAGCCTCGGGACTAACGTGAGAACTGGTCATAGCCATTGCTTTTCACTGAAACGATCATAGCAGTTTGGTTTTGGAATAGTAGACAAGTTCAGTGCATGAATTCCCTATAAGTTGTGCAGAAAAACTAAAGCGTGGTCTATTCATTGGTCACGATCTCCGTTGTGTACTTACCAGTCATTTGAATGCACCTTATGTCAAACCGATGTGCAGGATACTACCAACATAAACTTGGGCACCCCAGCGCACACATAAGTTCAGGTAGTATGTACCAAATCGGCGCAGTAGAAATAGGGAGTCCATCCCCTGGTTCCAACTGCGTCTCAGAAAAGCAAAGGTCGCTTTTGGTCCGCGATTAATCCCCTATCCGCGGTCTGGGGACGCGTCTCGTGGCCTCGCGACTAGGCGCCTCTCGGGATCACTTATATGATGGAGATCCATAGGAGGACTATCTAGGCACGACGCAAAACTGCATGTGTTCTAACGGTAGAGGTGCTGAGTTTCGGTGCGGTTTATCTGACTCCTTCTAAAGCACATGGGGGCGAATACATTGAGAAAACGGGTAGTAAAGTGTGCTTCCGTAGAAGGAACACGTAGTCGGTGGACTCGAACTAAATACTCCTCTCAGCTGTACAACAGAAAATAATTTTAAGTGGAAATGACCATTCTTGTATGTGAATTAAAAACCTTTGCACGCAAACCTCTCGAAGTATTCCAAGTAAATTCCACGCCTTCAAAAATGAACCACAAGGAGGAATGCTTCGTTGTTGTGCATGATCTCACACAGTATCTCAGATCGTTATTGTAATGAGGTAGGGACGCACTACCCACCCACGTGAGCTTAGTGCGCTTGATCTTCATGCAGAATACAAGCTGAAAACTTATGGAAAACTTTGAGTGTTTAATGATATTTAAACATATTTCATTTCCAATGCAGTCAATATCCAGGTTTATGATTTTTCCATTGCAGTTACGACGTGTTTTACTGGGTCGATTGCGGTCACCTGCACCCTTGCCGCAACGTCTGCTGGAGGGTCGACGTTTGTGGGTACAAGTCGGATAACACCACTTGGGTGCTGTTAGCAATGAAGTGGCAAATTATTGGTTCATTATGTATATCGGGCAAATAGATATCATTTAGTGGTTTACATTTCCAATCTAGCACGTTGGATTTCTGCAATCTGAGCTAAATAGAGTATGGCACCACTCCTGTATATAGAAAAACACATGAAACGTACAAAACACAAATAAGTGAAACGATTAATTCAAAGCTTTGTCTTTCACTGCCACTGAACCACTGTTCACATGCAACTTATGAACTTTTGACTTAACCTATGATTGTGTTTCTTCATGCATCAGTGTCGAATACCATCTAATAACCGTTGAATGCCTATTTTTTTGGTCGTAAATTTTCTTTTAATGGAGTTTTACATTTTCAATGACATTGGAAGTGCTGTAGCATCTGGAAGCGTGGCCGTAATCCTCGCATTTCCATCATGAACATCAAAATGACAGGTTTCTCATGAGACTCGGTGAAAGAGGCGTGGTATCCAGAAGAATAGAGGGTGAAGGGATACAAGTCCTCTATTTTAACATATTTGACGGATGTGTTTATCTTTATTCTTATCACGTGAGAAGGACAGACTTTCCAGCCAGCGTTCGTCGCCTTCTGAGATTTGAAGTGCTTTGTTATTGCTTAAAAAGTTGCACAGGATGTCATCTCAGTGGGAGTGTTGCGGTGCAACCCTGAAATCATTCCAGTGCAGTTATAGTGCCTTAATGCAGCACTACACATGGTCCTTGCTTCTATTACGAACAAGGATGTATTGCAACTTAATTGATGCTGAATGATGTGAACATGGATCGTTTTTCTACTGTGAGTAAAAATGTAACGGCTAGATCTGGGTCAGCAAAAAGCAAAATAACGAGAGCGCCTGAAAAAGTGTAGTGGTCAATTTATTTGGTAGCCGCGAATTAATGTTACGGAATATTTTATGGTGTGAAATACTTCTAGACTTCTAGAGCATATGTGATTTTTAAACATTGTGGCTTCTATATGTTTACGCTAAAAAAATAATGTCAGCGAAATAAATATA